TGGTCCTGCCCAGCGACTTCCACCACTCTAAGAAGGTCCAGTCTAACACTAACCATCAGCAGCTCAGCAGGACACGTCCAGGTACACATGGGTACCTGGAAACTGAGGCTCAGGAAGGGAGGGACCTGCCCAAATTCACATATTTGTAAAGTCACAGGTTAGACTCAAACTGTCCTCATCCCATTAAGGAGAACTCAGCTATTTTCTGGAGCAGAGAGGGCAGAAGCCAGTATAACCCAATGTGCAAAACGCAGAGTGGTTTGGAACACGAGCTCTAGAGACAGACTTTCTGGGTTCGAAGCCTGGCCCTGGCATTTCTTAGTGCTTGTCCTTGGGCAAGTTATTCAGTCTGTCTGGCCTCAGTTCCCTTTCTGTGTAAAGTAGGGCTAATAACCATATTCACTTAATTTGAGAATTAGATAAGTTGCTCTATGTAAAGCATTTATAAAGGTGCCTGCACATATAGGAAGTGCTTAATGACTATTAAAAAAACAAATAAAAAGCAAAGAGCCCCTGCAGCCCCAGGCTAGGCCATGCTTGGGTCCTGGTCCCTATTGTGTCTGACCTGGGAAATAGCTGCCTTTTCATCAGCACGAAGAATCAGTAGGAAAGGTAAATCCTGGGTATCAGAAGCACGAAGGCCCATGGAGTTTAGCACCTCCTCTTTGGGAGGTTTGGACTTCCTCACATGAAGAGGATCGTAGGACTTGAAGTAGGATCTGTGCACAAATGCAGGGAGCAATTGAGTCTCTTTCACCCGGTGACTTCTGCTCATTCCACACAGGGAAGCCAAGCCACGCCTCCTTGGGGAAGTGTCCCTGGGCACTCCATGTGATTTCCCACTCTCCTCCTCCGGACCTAGCTTCACCACAGCAGCCCATGCTCTGAGGCCAGACAAGTCAGGCTTTGGATCCCTTAGCAATGCGTGGAAGCTCAGGTCTGTCCAACTGCCCAAAGCCTCAGTTTCCCCATCTGTAAATTGGTGATAAAGTAGCCACCTCATAGGTTTGTTATTTGGTCTATAACCATTTAGGATCGTTATATCCTCTTGATGAATTGGTCCCTCTGTCATTAAGAAATGACATTATTTGTCCTGGGAAATATTCTTTGTTCTGGAATTTACTTTGTCTGAATAATCACTTCAGCTTTCTTTTGTCTAATGTTAGCATGGTGTCTGTTTTTCCATCCTTTTACTTTTAACCAATTTATGTCTTTATGTCTTTGAAATGTGTTTCTTCTAAGCATACAGTTGGGTCTTGCTTTTTTATCCTTTCTGACAAACTCTGCCTTTTAATTAGGATATTTACATTTAAAGTGTTTATTAATATGGGCAGGTTTAAACCTATCATCTTGCTATTTATTTTCTATTTGAACAATCTTTACATTATTTCAAATTTCCTCTTTTCTTGCCTTCTTTAGCTTGCCTTAATATTGTTATAAGTTCGTTTCATTAGCTGTAAGTCTTTGTTATATTATTTTATTTATGTATTTTTGCAGCAGTAGCAGTAGCCTCAAAGAACATGGAGTATGTTTTTTTAGAGGTAGCCTTAGGCTTTTTGGTATAAATCTTCCACTTATTACTATCTACTTCCAAGGGATACCATATATTTCACATAGCATACTTCCTTCTCTCCCCCCCCGGCCTTTATGCTGTGGTTGTCATGCATTTCACTGTTACATAGGTTATAAACCTCACACTACGTTGCTGTTATTTTTGTTTCAAGAGTTGATTGTCTTTTAAAGAGATTTAAATACTAAGAAAAAAATCACATATTTATCCATACAGTTACTCTTTCTTGGTGCTTTTCATTCCTTTGTATAAATCCATATTCTATCTGCTATCATTTTCCTTCTGCTTGAAAATTTTTCTTTAATATTTCTTATAGTAAAGATCTATTGGTGATGAATTCTTTCAACTTTTGCAAGTCTGAAAAATGTCTTTACTATACCTTTGTTTTTGAAACATACTTTTGTTGGATATAGAATTTTAGAATGATTTTTTTTTCCCTTTCAGTATTTTAAAGATGTTGTTCCACTGTCTTCTTACTTGTCTTTTTCTAATGAGAAATCTGCTGTCATCCTTATCTTTGTTCTTTTCTACATAGCATTCCAATTTTGTTCTCAGGCTGTGAGTCTTTTCCCGACTGGCTGGAAAAGGCACTATTCCCAGCCCTGTGTGAACACCAGACACTGTTCCCTATAATTCTTCCCGGTGATTCTTTCCTCATGCTTGAGTTGTTTCCTCACACACATGCACTGATCAGTGCTTGGCTGACATTCAAGTGGGACGAGCTGCAGATCTCGGAGTTCTCGCTCTATCTAGTTCTCCCCTGTCGACTATTCTAGCCTGTGAACTCTGCATGCTTTGATCTCATTGGACTCTCAGCTCCATGTCTTAAACTCAGGGAGTTTGCTGGGCTCTGCCTCAGTTCCCCCTCCTCAGGCATGGCCTGCAAACTCTCTCAAGGCAGTAAATGTCGCGCCCGCCTCGGCAGCAAGGAAGACGCGGCAACCGGAGTTCTTCTGACCGTGCTTTAATGGGGTTCCCTTTAGGCTTACATGATACGGAAGACCCAGCCCGGCAGCGTGCAGGCCGCTATATACCCCAGAAGTACAACCCCTAAGCTGCGATAGGCCGTTCAGCTGTCGAGCCACCCAAGCATTAGTCCATAGCAGGACCCTTTGTTTGGATTCTCGCGCCACAGGGCAACCGACAATTGCGCATGCGCTGAACTTGTTAGCTGCT